ACGGCTACGGCGTCATAAAATAGACGTCTCGAAGACCACGCTCAAAATAAGATTGAATGTTGCCGGTGTTCATTATCGCAGTACAGTGAAGAAATCACTTTTGACAGAAAACCAGAAGAAAAACGCATTGACTGGGCAAACCAAAATTCAACAAGAGATTGGATCGAAGAATATATACACTGACGAGTCATTCTTTTGGCTGGTGAATAGCACTACCCATGCCTAGTCTAGAGCCGAAAAGAGAGTGGTCGTTCGCACGGTAAAGCATCTGAAAAGGGTGCATGTTTATGGTTGCTTCTGTGAAGCTGGTTTTGGAAAGTTGACCATATTCACGGGCATTCTAAACGCTGTGAGGATGAACCAACTTTATTCGTCGACACTGTTACCCACTGCCAAGAAGTTCTATGGCAACGGCAATTCGAATTGGCTTCTATTAAAAGACAACGATCCAAAACACAAAAGTCGTCTCAGCACCGCTGGAAGGAGGAAAATGACATTAAACAAATGAACTGGCCACCACAATCACCCGATTGCAATCAGATCGAAAATGTTTGGGCCATTATTAAGGCAAGGCTTCGTGGTAAAACACACCGCAATTTGAAGCAGTTCAGTTCATTCATTCAACGACAGTGGAAAGGTTTTCGACGCGAATATGCTGAAAATTTGAGCAAAAGTATGCCAAATAGATGTGCCCGTGTGATCGAGCATGACAGTGACTGGATTAAATATTGATTGTGTGCGTCGTAGCTTAGAAGTCAAATAAAAATTATATAAAATAAGTTTGTACAACTTGTGAGTTTTAATATGAAAAATCGATGGCTTTATATAATGAGACATACTGTACATGGTAGTTGAATTTTTAAATTACATTTATGTATGTGAATGACGATATTGTTTAATTTTTTCAGGTGTCTCTACAATTACCTACTTTACTGGTGGACACATAGCATATTGTCATTTTGCCACATTCGGATTATTTCTGTCCATTATAACAGCTCTTATTTTTGGAAGTTATCATGTGTGGCGCATTTGTATGACAGATAGTACACGTAAAAGTAGTCGACATTCTGTACGACAACGGTAAGCATATTATTTTATTTTGTTCGAGATTAAGTTAAAAAGTACACTTTCCCAATGAATTCTTGAATTTTATAAATTCTCAGATCAGGTGAAACGATCATTATGACGACTACGCGATCATCACCAACGGAGGATGAAATACCTTCTGGATACTGGATTCCAGCTGCATTCACTTCAGGCTTTTTTGTTCTTTATTCATTGATATTTACCATAGTTTACATAGACGGTGCGTGGACATCTTGCCGTCAATATCGGAATGAATTAATCAAGTATATGCATGCTACAGGAAATTTAGGTATTTCCATAATTCCTTCATAGCTCAATTTTCATATTTCGAATAAATATGTTTTGTTCTTTTTAGTCGCTGCTGTACAAGGTCGAATCAGTTGTAGTGCTGTTTTTGATTTTATGTAAGATTTTCAAATCATTTTTTTTATTTGAAAACATTTATAATAATAAACATATACTTATTCTATTACCAGGGACTTTTTATTTTCCGATGTTAGCTTCGATAGACGAAGAATCGATCGTATTGATACATCGTGGTGTTTGAATTTAGGAATTCTATCATCTATTGGAACATTTATTCTATGGTGTTCCGTTTTTTTCATAAACATAGTGCAAGCACGAAGTACAAATAGGTTAAGAGAATAATTATACTATATATCATTTTTATTCGCTAAAATGAAACTTTAATTTGAAATAAATTGAACAAGATTTTTCGTTTTTACTACATTTCACCATCCTGAATTTGCAATAAAATCTTATGAGGTTTAGATTTTATAAGAACTGTTTATTCTTTCCATTTGATGTCATTATTGAATATGCACAAAAAAGCCCAGAAATTGTCAATCCCATGGCTCCTCCAACAGCACAACGCCTAAGACCAGCTGTGGACTTATATAAAAGACCAGTTGAAGTACCAGCCAACACTGTATTTGTTTCATCATCTTTTCCACGTACAAATTGTAAAAGAACTCCAAACACAGAATATATAACAGTAATTGAACCCAATGAATTTCCAGTTGCTGAACCTTGTTTCATAATATGGTTTAGGAGCCTGCAGTTAGAAGTTGTATAATTTGAATTGTACTGATATTCAATGCGCACGTAAAAAAAGTTAAATTGGACTAATACTCACTGTGTACGTCTTAATTTACCGGACTGATTTGCCATACTAGTTGCCGCAATACCATTATATAGTCCAACCATGCCTCCTAAACCAGCTCCAATCTATCTTCACAATGGTGTTCATATTTTATTTGATGAAATTGTTTTGTTATTTATAAAAATTCTAAATGAAACTTGCCATGACTGCAGAACCAATTTGTGAAAACGCTAACTCAAAGCGTCCGCGCTGTTGTTTTCCCGCACCTTCCGGGAAAATAAATTCAGGCTGGGTTTGTTGTGAAAATACACGTGGATCGTAGTTGAGATACGGTGAGAAAGATGCAACTGATGACTGTTGACGAACATATTGATCCGTAGAACTTTTTTCTAAAGATTTTTTTTTTGATAAATACATTCATTTTCCTAATAACTTTTTTTTGCTTACCCCCGGACTTAATATTAAGTGGTTGACTCAAGTAATCTTCTTTCATTGTTGAATTTAAATTAATTTAACAAAATGCTTGAATACACAATTTCACAAATTAAGCATGAAAATTATTTTATCAATAAGTGTGGTTTTGTCTGTCAAACTTTCTTTAACCCAAGTCTAGTAGAAGTACGTACAAGAAGTATTTAAGTATTTTGTATACTTTAAAATTTTGAATTCGCGAATATGGTATGTGATTATATTTTAATAATGATTATAATTAAATAATAATGATTATAATAAGATTTTTCAAATTTAAATTTCATAAATAATCTTCAGATTGAAAGCCATCGATATCTATTTTTTTATAGCGTCGTAAGAAATAACCGTTTTATGTATATGAATATACCAAAATTACGCATATGCACACTACTTTCCATTCAAAAAGAAAAATAAAGAATATGAGTGAAACCGAAATAATTCGGTAGTACTGAATCGGTTCCTGAAAATAAGAATTTGCCGAATTCGTTGATATAGTCATGTTTTTATGACCTTCCTACAGAGATTATAGAGGTAGGATTTTTGATTCTTGAAAAAATGTCAAAATCGAACCACTCTATTGAACAATCAAGGGGAAATCGTCGAGAGACAAAAATTCGGAGTTGATTTCACTTTTGAGGAAAGGTCAAATCTTCAAAAAAATATCGATATTGGAACAAAAAATTAGACTTTTATCGACTAATAACAATGATTAATTCTGTTAATGAAGAACAGACATTAAAAAATATGCTACCGAAAGCATAATGGCAGACGAAACGACCGATATTTCTGGTACGGAGCAGCTGTCAATTGGTGCTATATTTATCGATAAACAAAATAAAGAGGCTTACGTACGCAAGCTGACTTTTCCGCATGTAACTTAAATTACCGTGAAAACTTGTGAATATTATTTTCTTATCAAAATAAATAATCACACCAAGTTTAAAGAAATTTCAATCAAAAAAATAGCCTGTTCAAAGTTTCACATCATTGCGGCACCACAAAGGCATGTCTTTCATACAAATGAAATTTTTTGTGGATTTTTTTATGAAAAGTCTGTGAAAAAATTGATTGCATCTTAAAACTAACATCAGATTCGGGTTTCTCGTGCCAAAAAACCCCCCACTACACATTCTTTCAGCGTTCAAATTGAAAGAATATCATTTTAAGGCATTTTTCTCATTAAGGCCTCTTTAAAGTCTAAGTTTTACACCGATCAATCAATGTTGCTAAAAATTTGACCAGGTCTATTCTTCGTAGTTTCTCAATCATCCCGTGAAGTCAGATTTTGAATTTCATATCTGAGCACGAAACCATCGTGTCACCAAAATGGTTGAAAAATGATCAAAAAATGTATGGATGTGGGTACTCCATTCGGACCAAAAAAATTACACCGGTCAACCACTATTGCTCAAAAACTAATCAGCACGTCTCCTAGTAGTCCCAAATCATCCTGTAAAGTCAGAATTTGAATTGAGTTTTCGGAAGAAGATTTGTCGTGTTAACAAATTTTGGCGCCACAGGACACAGGGCACATCACACACAGCGACGCACATTAATATGCCCCAAAATCATCTTCAATCGTCTTTTCTACATGAAATATGCATAGAAAACATGTCAGTGCAAAAAAATTTGCAAGAATAATATCCAAATAAAATTGATCTTCAATGATTCAAGTTTTGTTGCATGTTTGATGTATATTGATGTACGCATTTGTGAATACTTGCAGGAAACACGAAGAGCCTTCAAACTATATTGAACCGCTACAAAACCAATATTTATTATATTTATAGACGAAGTTCTGGGAAAATTCACATCAGATCCAAGAAAAATGTATTGGAATAATTGTTACTTTTCCACACACACCTAGTGTGTAAGGTAATGTATTGAAATCGGTCGAAAAATTAACACCCATCAAAAATGTGTTTTCTGGGTGTTTTCGGGGCCAGGAAACACGAATCTAGCGTTTTTTTGATGTCCGGATGTATGTGCGTACCTTGTACGCTGTACGCTGTACGCAAAAATTTGTTAACACGAAAACTTTCAAACAAGAAAAAAAAATCAAAATCTGACTTCGCAGGAATAGAAACCATTAGATTTTGAGCGACAATTTTCCTTTCAAAAGTGATATTTAATGTATTCTTAAACACTCAAAAATATGTATTGGGGGTTTTTGGGTACGAGAAAACCGAATATGACGTTAGTTTTGAGATACAAATATATTTCGACACACTTTTCATACAAAAATGTCAAAAAAAATGGATTTTTGTATGAAAGCCATGCCTACTCTCAGAAAACTCAGATGTTAAAATTAAAAGTAATCAAAGCAAAATGCCATTTTAACATGAGGCTATTTCTTCACATGGTAAAATGCCATTTTACATTTCTTTGTGAGTAAAACGGAATTTTAACATGTGACAAAATATCTCCATGCTAAAATGGCATTTTGTCGTCATTTTAACATGAGGCTTTTTTTTCACATGTTAAAAAACCGCTTTAACCGCAAAGAAATGTGTTGCGGCCCTTGCGGGTAAAGCGGTATTTTAACATCTGAGTTTTCTGTGAGTGTATGATATCGTAATGAACTGAAACTTTGCTAAGGTTTCTATTCCTCGGCACCCCCAATCATCCTGTGAAGTCAGATTTTGAATTACTTTTCTGGTTTGAAAGTTATCGTGTTAACAAATTTTTGCGTACAGCGTACAGGGTACCACGCACATACATTCGGACATAGCAAAAACGCTAGATTCGTGTTCCCTAACCCCTAAAACACCCAGAAAACATGTTTTTTGAAGGTGTTAATTTTTCGACCGATTCCACACTAGGTGCGTGCGGAAAAGGAAAACTGGATGAATTGAAAATATAAATGAAATTATTTAAATATTATTTATATCTTTCAAAACTGCTTGTATGAGGCAACACATTTAGGGAAAGTAGTAGGAATAAAGATGGTGCGAGCAAAGCGAGTAAAATTTTGTTTCACGGTTTTGGAGTTTCTTCACAAAATAAAAAAAATCATTTTTTTCTTGAGATGATAGAGGGGTTTGGACCCCTAGGATACGCTCCTGATAAGTGGCATTCAAATTGAAAGAGTCTTTGTAATAAGTGACTTGGGAGCGTTGCTTGTTGTGCAAATGAATCGCTAAAGAGAATGAACTGGAACAGTTACAGGCTTACGGAATAAAAACAAAGACTGCTATTCCTACAAATGATATCGCTTGAAGAGAGACGATATTTATTTAATTTATTTAGAAGTAAAGAAGCCATAAGAAAAACATAGGCAATAACTAAAACGATAAAAAATAAAATTCGCATATAGTTGGCGCTGCATTCTATGCAAACATGTTTTCCGTTGCAACGGACTAAGTGGAAAGTATACGCTTATTACATAGAATGTAGCGCCAACTATACGTGAATTTTATTTTTTTATCATTTTGGGCAGTAATTTTATCGCTTCTTTATCAACAGTAAAACTGAGAATTAAATAAAGTTTATTATTAAAAGTTTAAAAAACAAAATAGATGATATTGAAAACATAAATAAAATTAATTGTTATTATATAATATTATTATTTATCTCTTTCAAAACTACTTGATGTAAGAATCTAATTATATTGTATTTATTAAAATTATTTTAATTAAACCACCAAGGCGAAGAAACGTTGCTCTTATCGATTATAATAATAATTATTATTATTATTTTTGAAAAAATTGGCAAAGGAAATTTAATCGAAATGAATTGTTGCTAAAAACGGTTTTATTATTCAATCATTATACCAATCTAAGAACAGTAAAGTAAATGACATTACAATCAGGAAGAATAACACCCAAACTCGAAGTCCGGCATTACGTTGAATAGCTTGCTTTATTTGTTCATTTGCATCCTTTATATTTTCCGTAGCACCTATTACAACATTGCCAATTCTTTCAATATCATACTTTTGTACGGTAACCTGGAAGTGAACAATTTTTTTTAAAAATAAATTTTAGATAAATAGAAAACAAATTTAAAGAAAACAATTTGTTTACCTTTTCTGTGAAAATTTCTTGTAACCTGGCTATTCCAAAAACATTCTTTTCAATTTGATCCACTTCGTCTGAAAGACCTTTTAGATCATTCAGCAGTTGCGTATTCTCTGATTCGAGCAATTGTATATCATCAGAGGTCATATTATCATAGTCAATGTTAAATTTGTCTGATTGATCTTCATCTATTGCAACATCATTTGATTGACTTGTGTTTTGATTTCTATTATCCAACAAAACATCCCTTTTTATACAAGCGCCATCGGAACTGGTATTTGATTCTAACTTCAGTAATCTGTATGTTTCCAGTTCATGTTGTATGCGGTTTTCTTTCTGTTTATTGTGCATATTAAATACATCTCGCAGATAGTTAGCTAAAATATCAAGTATCGCTAACTGATGTGTGAGTACCTGTTGTTTGTAATAGGCTCTCTCTTTAAGGCACGAAACTTTTAAATCGCTTAAATATTGATTACAAAGTATAATGATTTTTTCAGATTCTTTATCGATAATATTCCTTTCATCGTCTGTCATTTGAATTGAAGATTTGAGATGAAAACCAAATCGCATGTAAGCTGCTCGATTTTCAACTAAAAGATCTCGAAGTTGAGTTATTTGATATCGAATGTCATTCGCTTTAATTGAAAACTCATCTCTAGCTTTAACTTTCAATATTCGTGTTTTATCAGCAAACACCGCAGTTTTATTACGTAAACGAACAGTTTTTACACTAGCTTTGAATAATTGAGTTAAATCCATTCCAAAATCCTAATCGAAATAAAATTTAAAAATAATCTACGAAACAGTGTTTTTACAGATGAAACGTATACAAATGTCAAACAAGTACTTAACTATAGAAAAAAAAAATGTGTGATGTGTAAAAAATTGTATATATTGATTATGTCCAAATAGTGAATATAAAATAATTCAATATGCCACAAACATGAATATTAGATACTTTATCATTTGAAATGAATGTTATTTCTATATTTTCCTAATATGTATTATAATTAGAATCAAATTATTTAAAATACAAAATTCGGGCAGATAATCAAATGTCTTCGATGACATTTCGGGAAAAATATGCAGAGTACGAAATATACACACCAACATGTAACAAATACATATACATGTCATTGAAAAACCGGCCATTACAAAAAATGTCACGACGCTCTGAAAAAGCGTCTGATAAATTTGTGTTTTTTGCCAACGAAAGTTATTTTATTATCCGTTCTCAATTTCTCTTATCTTCAAAATAATATTCAAATTTTGTTATTAAAAGTAAAAAGAGAAAAAAATGTAAGATTCCAATTTAAGATTGAAAAATCAATAATTTCATTTCATTTTATTTTAAGGGCTAATCGAATCCGGTCGGAATCACCATCATCTGTGAAATCGAAAGAAAAAGACAGATCTCGCAATAGTGCACGTAATCGAGACACTAAACGCCGTGGATCAGTATCAAGCAGCAGTGGAAGGTAAATTGAATGCGAATATCCGATATAATTTAAAAACTGACGCTTTTATAAAATTATATGCATATTTATTTCTTAGTGTCTTTTAATTTTTGGTATCTTTTTGTAGCAAAATAAATTAGATATATGATTTTTCAAATTATGCTAAAATTGTTTAAAATTTAAAAAAATATTTCGTTATTTAGCTCTTCGGATAGTAGCTCATCATCTGGGTCTCGTTCAAGCTCCACAAGCTCATCATCTTCATCAAGTTCAAGTTCCTCGTCGTCATCAAGCGATCATCGTGATAAGCGAGTAACATCCAATCGAAGTCGTAGTGGTTCTGAACGAAGCGCTGGTAATTTAAAAACTCTTTTTATTCTTTCATATTAATTATTAGAAGCATCTGAAAGTATAATTATTTCATATGTTATGGAAATCAGGTTCTAAAGATAGAGCAAGATCTAAAGCACGTAAAAGTGTGGATAGAGATCCAAAAAAGCAGAAGGATCAATCGGCTTCACGTTCATCTCATTCCCGCAGCCGTTCCCGATCGAGATCACTTCGAAAGAAACGCGAGCGATCACAAACACCCAAAACAACTAAAATTGGTCCACGCATCCATTTGGGACGTCTTACACGCAATGTTACAAAAGATCATGTTCATGAAATCTTTAGTAATTACGGTATGTAATATTGATTATTTTTCTTCAGCCATATATGCTCAAAACAAGATTTCAATAATATTTCATTAAACATGTAGGAACCATCAAGTTCATAGAATTCCCTCTTGACCGTTTTCATCAAAAACATGGCCGTGGGTTTGCTTACGTTGAATATACCAACTCCGAAGATGCTGAAAATGCAATGAAACATATGGATGGTGGTCAGATCGATGGACAAGAAGTTACAGTAGCTCCGATACTAATGCCCAAACCAAGACCGCAGCCAATGCGACGTATGTCTCCGATGAGACGTGTATGGAGAAGATCGCCACAAAGATTCCGAAGAGGAGGTCGATCACCACCACGAAGAAGAAATTCGAGGCGTCGATCTCGTTCTCCAGTTCGTCGTCGTCGTAGATCTAATAGTTCGGATAGCTCCCGTTGATATAATCTGACTTGCTTCAAAAAATGTTAACACTTTCAAATTGAACTTTTGGTATTAGATCTACAGATAACAGAAGCGAAAAAGAATAAAAATATTTTAGACCATTTACATTTTTTTTCGAAATATATCCAATGGTAAGATAAATCAAAAATGATGTCACTGTATATCTCTCTTTTCTTCCAAATAATATTTAAACAAGTAGTTTTGTTCTTACAACATATGAAAAAAAAAAATCATTTTCAGCTATTATTTGGAACAAAACGACAGTTATTTTTTCACGGCAACAATATTCAATAAACATTCATTTTGGTCTGTCTGTATGTTTTTACATTATTTTGATGAAAAATGATTCCGATGATGAAAATTTCGCCCATCAAATTCTTGTAACTTTTGATTTTTAGAACATACAATGAATAAATAAATCAGCACTTCTTATTTCTGACTATCTTAATTTTTACATTTGAACTTATATGACTTTTTTATATGTTTTTTTCTTTAGAAAATATGATTTCAATTTTTTTTCAGGGTCTTCATTTTACACTGATTACTTCGGTTACCCGTTCAACGCTTTTCGATATACCTATTAGAAGGAGAGATTAGACAACATTTGAGCCAATTAATTATACGCTTACTACATTCAATGATTATTATACAAAAGATATACAGTGATACAAACTGTTATACTACTACATGGATCAATAAGTCTTTAGAATCGGACACTAGATGGCGACACAAGTAAATATCCATCTCATTTTTAGAAAGAGCCATCCTTCAAACCTCCAAATATGAAATTTGAGCCAAATCCGTTCACTGACTCAGAAGTTACAGCACTTAATCGAACATAGCCTCAAAATGGGTCCAAATTCTCCATTTCATCTCTTTATCTCAAGGAGTGGACTGAATGTTAAAACTATTTCTGCACCAGAGGATAGATAAAGGTCCCACCAGTCCACACCAGAAATATGAAATTCATACGTTTTCTACTTCGTGAAATATTGCCATCATTTGTATGGCTCCCGAGATGATTTTTGGTCACATTACTGAAGTGTATATTTTCTCAATAAAAACAGTATTTCCTTGATTCAAAAAGTTCAAAAATGACATGGATTATTCTTTTGGCATTGCTTCGTCCCATTCAAGATTATAAAGCAATATTTGGAACAATGCACTTCCAAAGAATACGAGCTACAACCAAAAATGTGATTTTTTGACCTTTTGGGGTTATGTCAATATTTGGTGACGGTCGAGATGATCCATTGTCTCATAATGCACTTTATGGGTTCAATGAGACATCATCAGTTAACAATCAATAAAAATACCAACTTGATTAATGCAAAAAATCCTTGCGACATCGCTAGAAAGTTGAAACTTGATTTCACTTCGGGCAAATACATAAACTCAGAATGAGTGAATTTTTTTTACCCAAATGTTGGAGCAATACTTTTCCAAAACTATTCTACGGAATTCTTGGGATCTACTCTAGATTATTCACGCGAATAGTGCACACTTTCATGGAGATATATTGGATTCATTCAAACATCTCTTCAAAAACTGCCATTTCGAGGCGTCCATTTTCCCCGTCTGTACGACCACATGTAAATTCAATAGACTACTTCTAAATGGCCCCAATCGATTGTTGAGAGTCCAAGAAATACCAGCAAGCTCAGTTTTGGTTTCACTGATGGGCATAACAAATGAAAATTTATAGTTGTTCAATAAATGAATTTTTGTTTTTTTGCATTTCAACAAAAACCTGGAGGTTGGTCTGTTTCAAGAGTTGTAACTTCTGAGTCAGTAAACGGATTTGGCTCAAATTTCATATTTGGAGGTTTGAAGGATGGCCCTTTCTAAAAATGAGATGGATATTTACTTGTGTCGCCATCTAGTGTCCGATTCTAAAGACTTATTGATCCATGTAGTAATTTAATTGATTTAGAAGTAAATTTATCGGCAGTTAAACTGAGCATTGAAAAATATTTAAAACAAAGCAGATGAAAAAGAAATCTCATTTGTTGTGCGACACATTCCGTATACCTTCGTTGTGCGTATGGTTCTGGCCAGACCCCCATACATTTTATATGAAAAGTGACGCAATTTATAATCTGTTACCAGTAAAAATCCACGGGTTTGGAAAAATATTTGCTTCAAGATACTGTATGTGGTAGATGGGTCCAAGACAAAAAAAAAGTTCCCCAGATTGATATGGGACTAGATATGACCCTTGGTAGTTCCAAGAACCCCAATATTCAGGTGAATATGACATGAATATTTCTGAATATTAAAGCAAAAAACTATCAATCGATTTTTCTCTCTTTTCCGATGGGAAAATCGCAAAAATAACGAAATTGCCAAAATAACGAGGACTCAACTTCCAGAACACTTTGGACCAGGTCGGATCCACCTACTCCACAAGATTCACTTCCAGCTCTTTTATATATCTACACTTATAATATTGTATGAGATGAAGCAAATGATTCAATACCATATGATTTCCCAACTTCTAGAACACTTTGGACCAGGTCGGATCCATCTGCTCCACATGATTCACTTGTGCGCTCATATTCATATGTAATTCCCCTTTATATCCGCCATAATGGATTTATACGAATTGAGCAACACATACATACCTTCAGTATATGGTTACCCCTAATAACTGTTATAACGTTGCTCAACATACTTGTTGATACCAATGAATGCTCGTTTATGAGCGTTAGCATGAGGTTGTTAAATCACCCCTTATAGTTAATGTTACGTTCGTTGTCGTTGTCGCATACATTGATTACCGTTATGATGATCCACTTATTGTCATTTAGAAACGTTCGCTTATGCGCGTTCGTCCTGGGTCGTTAAAGTCACCCCTTTTAATAAATGCTTCGTCCGTTGTCGTTGTCGCATACGTTATGAAACTCCGCTTATTGGTATTTAGAAACGTTCGCTTATGCGCGTTCGTCTTAGGTCGTTAAAGTCACCCCTTATAATAATGCGATGATCGTTGTCGTTGTCGCATGCATTGATTACCGTTACAAGAGTCGGCCTCAGAGAATGCTTGGTGATGCGCGTTAGCGTTAAGTCGTTAAATCACCCTTCATAATAAATTCAATATGAGTTGTCGTGTCTCGTATATACTGGTTATCGTTAAGTGAATTGACTTATTGGTTTTGAAGGACGCTCGGTGTTGCGTGTTCGTATTAGATCGTAAAATCACCCCTCATATTTGTTGTTATGATCGTTGTCGTTGTCGTTGTCGCTTATATTGGTTACCGTTGTATGAATCGACTTGTCGGTATCAGAGTACGTTAGTTCATATACGTTCGAATTGGATCATTAAAGTCACCCTTTATGATAGAATCAATACCCGTTGTCGTTTCTCATCTTTGCACAGATTATTTTTTTCACAAAATGAAAATTTTGTATGGGAGGTACCCCTAATTTTGATTGAAATCTCATCAAACTTTCAGAATGTTATTTTTTTTGTGTGAAAAATAGTCTGTGCAAAGTTTCACGTCATTACGGTAGCGTAAAAGCATGGCTCCCATACAAAAATTAAATTTTTCGCGATTTTTTCAAAGAAACTCTGTTAAAAAAATTAAAAAATTTAAATTAAATTTCAAAATTATCCATGGAGATATGAAGTCAACGATTGAAATATTACGATTCGGCGCATAATACCAGAGCCACACCGCTATTTGATATACCAATTAGAAAGAGTGATTACACAAAGTTTGAACCAATTAATTATATGTTAGCAACATTCAATGATTATTATACAAAAAAAAATCCAAACAGTGATACTAATTTAATTGATTACAGTAAAACTGAGAATTGAAAAATATTTAAAACAAAATCGATGAATTTAAAACATAAATGAAATAATTTGTAATATAAATAATTATTGTTTATCTCTTTCAAAACTGCTTAATGTAAGAATTAAATTGTTATTAAATTATTTATTTAAAATTATTTTGAATAAACCACCAAGGCGAAGGAACGCTGTTCGGTGCAGTTATTATTATTATTAAAACTTAATTGTATCTCAAAATTAACCTCGGATTCGATTTTATCGTGCAAAAAAAAGACCAGTACTTATTTTTGAGTGTTTAAGTCTACATAAAGTTTGACTTTTGGACGAAAATTGGATTCTTTTTCATAGGTATCACTCCAGACATGAAATTTTTTTCCATCAACCAAAGTCGCTCAAAATCTAATGATTTCTATTCCTCGTGACCCCCAATCATCCTGTACAGTCAGATTTTAAATAACTTTCCTGGGTGGTGTGATAATCGATGGACAAATTTGGCGTACAGAGGACAACGTACGACGTACGACGTGGAACAGACCCACAACAACCATGCTCAAAACAACATGGGGTTCTCTGACCTCAGAAACGTCCAGAAAACATGTTTTTGAGGTGTCGTACATTTTGACCCATTGCAATACTTTCCCCTTACACACTAGGTGTGTGTGGAAAAGTAAAACTGCCTTACATCACTACAGTAAAAAAAGAGTAACTTCAATCAAACAGCATACTACAGATATTGCCAAAAATAGCAACAGAAACAAAGTCGAGAATTATAGTGGAGTCGCATTGCAATGCATAGTTTCAAAAATACTTCATTCAAATATACCGAGTCACATAAATAACTATTTAACAAACGTCATCGATGACAGTTAACATGGATTCATCCAGGGGAGAGCAACGGGTACAGATTTGGAGGAGCTTACTTCGCTTGAGGATGAAATCGCTAAAAAAATTGTATGATTGGATTGTTCTAAAATTTCAAACATTGTTGGCATAATATTTATGATAATTTATTTAAAAAAAAAAACATATTTATTAACCAAATATTTTCAATAAACTTTTTATGTTTAATAATTTAATTGAAGACTGCTGATCGTTTATCTCGATTTTTCTTCAGTGATAAAGTACGTGCTTTGAATGAAGCTGCATTTATCAAATGTCTTTCCAACTTTGATTGTTTAACAGTCATACTCTTTGTATCAACCACTTTTGAGCCGAGCTGTAGAATATCACGCAGAAATTCGTTTTCAGTTAAATGTGTTGTAATCCCAGGACCTATTACATCACATAATTTTTCATATTGTATTGCTATGGACCATGTACATAAATCAAGTGTTTCTTTGCCGAATCGAATTTGAATCTCTGGTGTTATATTCTCCTTCAAAAAGAAATCATTTTTATCGGTTTTTTTTTTGGAAAAAAATATTAAATTATTGTTGTTGTTGAGCATACTGTATCAGTTTATCAAATGAAAAAATAAGTGAAGAAAACTTCTTATTCTGATACAAAAATCTCAAAATTTCTTTTAAATTTGTATAAGAAGTTTTCTTCACTTATTTTTTCAAAAAATATTAACTTGAAACTTACTTCCAAATAACGTAAAACATCACGAAATGATGCCCGTTGTGCTTTGCGTTCTTTTTTAGCTCTGAATTTTTGTGAATCTTTTGCTAGTTCACTCGTCAATTCAATTAAATCGGGTACGTAAGCACACATAAACTCTTCATCGTAGACGCGACCACATTCCAAAATAATTGCAATAATCTCTCCACAAGTCATACGGACGTCAACATGAGGTGATTGGAGTAAGCCAATTAAATTCTTTATGGACCTATAAATAGAGGAATATTACCTGTTAGCTTATATAAACTTAAAAAGACTCGTAAGTTTATTAAAAACACTTTTTTGTCTTATAAATGTTTATTGTCTTTTTACAGAAACATTGTTTCGACGCTCAATGCGTCATCATCAGTTGTAGAATTTTAACTCTAGTTAAAAGACAATAAATATTTATAAGACAAAAAAGTGTTTTTAATGAACTAACGCATTCCTATTCGTTTATGTCTTATAGTCCTCAAAAAGTAAAATTATTTTATTTAAAAAGACTCATTTTCTAAAAACTAAAAATATATCTAAAAAAATAAAACTTACGATAAAACAGAGCCGTTTGTTACATATGAACAGAAATCTCCTGCCGGGATTAGAGTAGCTAATAATCCATAACCGCTTAAAGCAGAAACATGAAGTTGAGCTACATCTTCACTAACTGTTGGTGCCGTTTGATCACCTTTCAAGTAACTTCCAGCAAAAATCTGCTCAAATTGTTGCATTGTTCCTACAATATCTCCAATATTATCACTATTTAAAAAGTGTAACATTGCTATAGCTGTACAAGATATTGCTCTAACAGAATATGATGAAGTTGGATTTTGTAGTATAGATGTCAGAATTTGACATAACGTTGAAGATATTGAATCACCACCACCAAGCTGTATTGCCAAAAGAGTTGCCAGTCGTGTTGCCATATCTTGTTCAAGTCCTTTTCCACGTCGCAATGATTTTTCCACAATATCCATAATAGTAAATTTTCGATCTTCCAGAAAATCAGCAATGTGACGGTGTTGAAGTATTTCAATAATAATCTTGAGCGCTTGTATACGTGTTTGAGTGGATTTCTCTGTGGCGCTTTCAATTGCTTGTAGTAATTTTTCTTCGTATTTTTCGCTAGCAGATAACAGGTGTGTATCGTCTCCATTGTTATCATCTTCTAATGATCCACAAGAATATACGCTTGCCATATCATTTACTGAATCAGAATCTGAATGTAAATCAACGTTTACACGGGCTGCGTAAAAAGCACAAAAAAAAATCAAGAATAAATAATAAATTAATAAGTAAATATGATTAAAGAATAAAAATGTGTATTTTTTTGCGTTAATGTGTCACGAAATCTGAAAAATTTAAAGAGTTACTTTTTTCTTGGTCTCAACATATTCTGACTTAAAAAATATATGACATGTGAAAGTTTTGCATTCCACACTTCTAACTAAATTTTTCGCCAGTTTGTTTTTTAATTAAAAAAATACCTTTTCCTTTCTTTGTTTTGTTCTTGGACATCTTGAATCGGATATAGTCCCCAAAAATTTGTTGGTTTAATTTTATTCTCAGCGTTCAAAGTATATTACAGTTCTTATACAAAATGTCAATTTCACAAGTCACAATCTGTACTTAATAAATAAAAAAAATAAAACAAATTATTGGTTCAGTTGGTTGTCGAATCTATCAACACAAGTTTGTTCGGAAAATTGTTTAGTTTAATTTTTTTTCGTGTTCTAATAAAAATTGACCATAAATAATTGTAAACTATAACTTCAAATAATATTGGATGTCTCTAATTTATTTTCAGTAAAAAACCAATTCAAATCTGTGACCTTGACTTTTGTTATTACTCAAATGAACACTTTTCATTCATGATTCAAAGATTTTAATGTTTCTTTATAATTTTGTTTGAAATAAAAACTTTTAAGACTAAAAAAATAAATTATTTCACAAACAATTTTAAGTTAAGCATTTATTTAAATTATTCCTTTACTAAATTTTCGTGAAATGACACAAGAAGTCACATGATAAAACGCCTAAATCTTTTTTTGTTGTGAAATACAGAACTAATAATGTTGATTTTATTGCTTAACATCAGAAATTTCACGCCATTTGCAATGCACACTATCATGTGTTAGCACTGTTGTCATTTATATGTATTTATGAAAAAGTATATGTATGTTCCCCTTTTCATGTGAGAAAATCACCAAATCATGTGCTTTTCATGACATGTGGTATCAAAGTGTGAAGTTATCTGCATTTCATGTTTTATGCTGAACCTTACAAATGTTCACGTTCTTGGATGAAAAATACAAGGTTAAGATAAAACGTTTCTACACTGTTTGTTTATTCGATAATCAGCAAGAGAACATAACTGTAGTTTTCATGATGAACCTATATGTACGACATTTGAAAGAATTCTATTTTCTATAAAATACTATAAAAAAATATATCTGGCGTTAATTTTGCCATAAACATTATTTTTGAAACACTTTTCATACAAAAGTAAAACAAAATGGATTTTTGTATGGGAATCATGCCTGTATGGTATCGTAAGCACGTGAAACTTTGCACAGATTATTTTTTTCACAAAAAAATAACATTCGAAAAGTTTGGAGAACTTTCAGAATGTTATTTTTTACTTTTCCGCACACCTAGTGTAGGGAAGGTATTGTATTAGGCCAAAAAATTAGAGTCATCCCAAAACATGTTTTCTATGCATAATTAATGTGGAAAACACGATTAGAGATGATTTTGGGGCATATTAATGTGCGTCGCTGTGTGTGATGTGTCCTGTGTCCTGTGTCCTGTGTCCTGTGGCGTGTTGCCAAAATTTGTTAACACGATAAATCCTCTTCCAAAAACTCAATTCAAATTCTGACTTTGCAGGATGATTTGGGACTACTAGGAGACGTGCTGATTAGTTTTTGAGCAATATCTGTTGACCGGTGTAATTTTTTTTGGTCCGAATGGAGTACCCACAATCCCACATCTATACATTTTTGATCATTTCTCAACCATTTTGGTGACACGATGGTTTCGTGCTCAGACATGAAATTCAAAATGTGACTTCACGGGATGATTGGGCACTACGAGGAATAAATCTGGTCAAATTTTCAACGACATTGATTGATCGGTGTAAAACTTAGACTCTGAAGAGGCACTTATGAGAAAAATGCCTTAAAATGATATTCTTTCAATTTGAACGCTGAATGAATGTGTAGTGGGGGTTTTTTGGCACGAGAAACCCGAATCTGATGTTAGTTTTAAGATGCAATCAATTTTTCACACACTTTTCATACAAAAATCCACAAAAAGTTTCATTTTTGTATGAAAGACTTGCCTTTGTGGTACCGTAATGATCTGAAACTTTGAACAGGCTATTTTTTGGATTGAAATTTCTTTAAACTTGGTGTGATTATTTATTTTGATAAGAAAATAATATTCACAAGTTTTCACGGTAATTTAATTTACTGCAACCATACAAAGACCATGATATCAGTTTATTCCCAAAATTTCGGTTCCATGCGGAAAAGTCAGCTTGCGTACGTGAGCCTCTTTATTTGTGTAAAAAATAGTCTGTGCAGTTTCAAGTCATTACGGTAGCGTAAAAGCATGGCTCCCATACAAAAATTCAATTTTTTTGTGATTTTACTTTTCCGCACACACCTAGTGTGTAAGGTAAAGTATTGGAATAGTTCGAAAAATTAACACCCATCAAAAATGTGTTTTCTGGGTGTTTTTGGGGCCAGAGAACACGAATCTAGCGTTTTTTTGATGTCCGAATGTATGTGCGTACCCTGTACGCTGTACGCAAAAGTTTGTTAACACGATAACTTTCAAACAAGAAAAGTAATTCAAAATCTGACTTCACAGGATGATTGGGGGTGCTGTTGATACAGTGAAGTGTCATGTCTGGTGTGATGCCCATGGCCATCCATGGGAAAAATTCAATTTTTCCCCCAAAAGTGATATTTAATGTATTTTTAAACACTCAAAAATATGAAATAGGGGTTTTTGGGTACGAGAAAGCCGAATAAGACGTTAGTTTTGCGATACAAATATCACGGAGGA